TCATTGTACTATGGCAAAGTGATTTATCATGAAACTTCCTGGTTTTCTATGACAGCTTCTGTATATGTCCCTTCAGCTATCTGGTATTAAAGGGGAGGCTTGTTACTGACGAGGTATATCATAATTTGGGGGGAATCAGTATATGTTTGGTTTACCCACAAGGCAGCAGCATGCTTACACAAGGCTTATGAAGCACTGCTGCATGTTTCTGGATCCTTCTATGTGTCTCTATCTACCTATTCTGTAAATATAGTTCCTAGCATCTCATCTTCTGTTATTATTGCCTACCTGGAAAGCTGGAGGAAGGTTTTAGGGAAAAGGAAAAAGAAACATCATCTAAATTTCCTCATTACTGCTCTTCAATCACTAATAGGAAGGAAAAAGGAAGAAGAAACAAATGAGTATAAAATAGAGCTAACAAATGAGCTAAAATAGAGGTGAGGAAAATTGCCACAGGAACAGGAAAATATTCTAAGTTTTCTATTCCAACTAATACTGATCAAAAAGCTCTAGTTTTTCATCCATGAGAACTTGTCTAGTTCCTCTATTCAGCACTTGGTTTAGTTTCTATAACCCAGATTTCGTTAGACTTTGCTCAACTCAACCAGTACTGGTCCAGACTATGGTTGCCAAGAACTAGGAACTGGGGGAAATCCAAATAAATGACAAGACTGAGAAACTTGAAGCCCCTACCAATGTTAAACCTGTTGAAGAAGACATGTTTCTATGATCTAGGGGAAAAAAGTACATTTTTCGAGAGTTTTTTCTTCAGTGTAGCTAGGCTATAAAATACTTTTAGTATGGTTTTCAAATACAGCTGTTTGTATCCTGGTTTGGGAATTTAACCATGAGGGATGATTTTAAAAATTTTTATGTAATACCAGGAGGATACAGGAGACAAAATAACAGTGTTCTCTTTCAGTATCTTAAAAAATGAATATCATCAGATGGTTTATCTTATAATAAACTCCTGCAGAAGCCTATTATTCCAGTTTCTAACAAATGACTTATATTTAGCTTTCTGGAACCTGTAGGGACTCCTAATCATAAACACTTGCTCAGCAGGGCCATATAGTTCTAAACTCATTTTGAATCTGTCCTATTCTAAGAGAAGAAAATATTAAAATGTTTCCTCCTTCCCATATAAAATAAACTCCAGCAACTATGGCACTTTCAAAGAAATGCAAAAGGACATTTCATTCTTCAGGGGAGGAGACATCTTTATTTCTAACTTCCTAGCAAGTACAGAACCATATCAAGATTTTACTTGTGGCTTTCCTCCCTTTTCTACATTCTGTCAGGTAGGCATGAACATGGGAAAAATTAATAAATATTTGATTTGTTTAGTAGATGTATTTTTAGAAGAAGTTGGCAAGTTTCACTAATATTCAGTGACAATTAAGCTGAATGAGAAAATGTGTTACTGACATATTACGAATACTTCTTTTTTTTTTTTTTTTTTTGGTACTGGGGATTGAACTCAAAGGCACTCAATCACTGAGCCACATCCCCAGCCCTACTCTGTATTTTATTTACAGATGGGTCTCACTGAGTTGCTTAGCACCTTGCCGTTAATGAGGCTGGCTTTGAACTAGAGATCCTCCTGTCTTAGCATCTTGAGCTGCTAGGATTACTGGCGTGTGCCACTGTGCCCAGCAATGAACATAGCTATTCTTTTTGGTCTTTTTTTGATACCTAGCATTGAACCCAGGGGTGCTCAACTACTAAGCCACATCCTCAGTCCTTTTTATTTTGAGACAGGGTCTTGCTGAGTTGTTTATGGCCTCACTGAGTTACTTAGGCTGTCTTTGAACTTGTGATCCTCCTGCCTCAGTCTTCTGAGTCACTGGGATTACTGGCATGCACCACCATGCCCGGCAATTCATTCATTTTCTACCCAGAACCTGCACAGTGTACATTAAAATATACAGCTGAACTTACTGTATGTTCAAAGAGTTTTCTTTGAGGTTAAGCTATCTTAAAATTCACAGCAATGACAAACCTGGGCTAGTCTTAATAAATATATTTTAAATAACTTACTAACTGTGCTATAAGAATATAAACCTTGGGGCTGCGGTTGTGGCTCAGTGGTAGAGCGCTCGCCTAGCATGAATGAGGCACTGGGTTCGATCCTCAGCATCACATAAATGCAAAATAATGGCATTGTGTCCACCTAAAACTAAAAAAAATTAAAAAAATTATATAAAAAAAAGAATATAAACCTTAACAGTGCACTTCAAAATGAAGCAAAATAGGGGGATGGAATTGTGGCTTAGTGGCAGGGCACTTGCCTCGTACCTGTGAGGCACTGGGTTCAATCCTTAGCACTACATAAAAATAAATAAAATGAAGCAAAATATAAGAAAATTCTACCATATAACTAGTATAGCTATTGTTATTTTTCAACTACTTTAATACATGACTTGTTCTCAAAGGTGGTGATAAAGAGAAGTCAAATTATACTGTTCAAGTGACAGGTACCAGAAATTAAAATTTTTGAATTTACATGGAAACCTGCACAATTCTGCATATAGCATTTCATTATTTGTTGTAAGCGTTCCAATAATATCAGAAGTGTATTTACCTCTGAAGCAATTCAGAGACTACTTTCTGGTTGTATTTTTCGTATATAATATAGGGATTAAAATAATTTAAATCAATTAAAGTTTTTCCTTGGATGACTGCGGTATTTGACAAAAGGCAGGAGGAACACTGCATTTTATTGCCTTAAGTTATACTGATTTATTGGGGCAAATACAATTAGTGCTGAAATTGATTAGTACACATTCATTGTTATATAGTATAACATATGAGCAGAGGCTTTTCCTGACTTTTGGATTTTAGAATTCACTTTTCAATTTGTGGTTACACAAAACTAATGAATCAGTTTATAAGTCCAGGCAACCAATAATGCCTACAAAAACAACAGACCTGGTAATTTAAAATAGATTACTGGCACTAACAAGATAAAGAGCTAGAAATATTTGAGCTGGGTTAACTTCAAAATGATCTACAATTACTTTTATAACTTAATTGCCATATTACTAATATTAAAATACTATACTTCAAAAGTAAATAATTTCATTCTATTAAAAATTCAATTATTAGTATATAATTTTTTTTGTTTAAAGAAAGACTTTCTTTAGGTAACCTTAAGGTTACATACCTTTAGGCATAGCTGAGTTACTGGATAAAGGTGTCACCATGTTTTTTACTACTGTGTAATCATTAACCTTTGCTGATTGTTGAGAGAATAGAAAGGATCAATAACACATTGAAATTTTCAGAAGCTACCTGTAGAATCATTAGCATGGTGCAAAAGGGAAAGCTCAGCAAAGAGTGGAATAATGGGAATGCAAGCCTTAACTGGTATCTGCATCATTTAGGTAAAGGGATAAAACACATTTGACATGGGAAAGGGGTACAGAAGTATCATAGCAAATGATGGTTTTTCCAACATATTTACTTGTTTTCCCCTCAAATTTTTTCAAGTTCTATGCCTCTGTAATTGCACCACTGATTTCACTGAGGTCAATAATAAATTGCATCAAACACTAAGTTTATTTATAGAGATTCCAAATAACTACAGATTCATATTTATACTATTGTTTTTTAAATGTAATTTTTATAACATACCTCCTTTTCCCAGAAATATTTCTAGTTATACATACAAAGGAATTTTAAAGAAAGTTTATTTCTCATGTTATTTCAGAAGCTTCCCAGAATTTTGAGGGAAGACCTATTTTCCTATTTATTAGCTAATATGTCTTTAATTAGACTGCTTTCAAAGTACATATATTCTGGCTAAATTTCAATAGCACCAGTCCTATGATTGAAGATTTGAATTTGGATACATGAAATGCTGACTTCTAAAGTACTCTAATAGGCAAAATCTAATGATGAAAACGTGCTGTGAAAATATATGTGAAGTTTTTATTAGGAAAAGTCAATCTTTTTTTTAATACCTTTATTTTATTTATTTATTTTTTTTATGTGGTGCTGAGGATGGAACCCAGCACCTCACACATGCTAGGCGAGCACTCTACCACTGAGCCACAACCCTAGCTCATTGATTCCTTTTTAATAAATAAATGATTTAGCTATTTTAAAAGATTATCCTAATGTAAAATTCCTCTTAAAATGGAAGTAATTTATAAAGTTGTACAATATTGTTTTGTTTCAAAAAGGCAAATATAAATAGTAAGCATTTGTTTTTGAACATTTTCCACAGTAACCTTAGCCTCTTTATTTGAGAAAATATTCAAATTGGGACTCTTTAAAACAGGTCTGATAAGTCTTAGCTTAATTTATATAAAGTGCATTCACTGGAAGAAATTGTGTTTAACAATTTAATTTTTCACTTAAATATTGATTGAGCACTTCATAAACTAAAATCAGGGAGAGTCAGTCCTTGTTCATTGCTACTTTCTCTTGTGAAAGTACACCTTAACCAGGCATACTGCTGCCATCACTAAAGTAATTCTATGAATTGTTTTTAGGTCACTGTAAGTGTGCACTATCTACCTTGGCAAAGACCAAATACTGGGAGAAGATAAGAAAATAGGGAACAAGAACAGTCAACTAAAAATTATCTCCACTATTCTTAACTCCTTCGGAAATGCAAAGCACAACATACTCCTCCCTACGTTCCAACATGGGAATTCCATTAAGTGTCTGTTCCTTTAATTAGATCATCTCTAGTTGGAGAAAAGCCACAATGAACAGGAATTTTTGTGGGACAAGAAGAAAGAAATATAAAGAATTCAGGGTCTCAATTTCAGGTGACTTAGCATTTGTATCCTCCCTTTACTTTCTATAGCTGTCCTTTCTTTCTGTTTATTGTAATATTCCTGAATTTATCTGGTCAGGCTTTTCTTATTCTGTCATTTGTAACAAGTCACGCTTTATAGGTGACTGAAATATCTAAGTAGCCTAAAAAATTGTACTACTTTTAAGAAGTTCTAATAGATATTATAGTAAGAAAATTCTAAGACTCCCACCTGATGATCCAAATATATGGTGTTCCTTTGAAGATGATGGGAAAGAATTTCATTCTAGTAGGCACCAATCAAGGAAAAAGGAATAGAGAAAGAGGGTGCAGAATTCATAAAAAGGTCAATTTCGAAATAAGAAAACAGGTAGTTTACTGTAGTCTATTGTATCATGGTACACAACTTTCACAGTGTTCTTTTAAATGGTACAGATGACACATTAAAGTATTTTCAATTTCTATTTAGTTTTGTTAGAAATTAAGTAAGACAGATGTATCAACATTGAACTACTAAGCAGAAAAAATCTGTACATGGCTTTAGCAGACTGAATGTTTAAAGCTTTTACATGCTATTTCTTATCTGCAATATAGTATTCCTCTTGGAAGATGTATGTCACATAACCAGAGGCTATTCAACCCTTTGAGAACTGTTTGTATGTATTCATTTTTTTAAATCAAGAACAGAAACAATAATAGTTCTCTTAAAATTAATCTTTGACATTTAAAAGGCAGTATTATTAAAACTAGAGTAAACTTTCAACTTATTACTTTATTGGAAATTATAAGACTTTTCAATGTTTTACCAGATATGGAAGTCACAGTATTCAGTAATTACCACTATTTTAAAATCTGTGTGCATTTCCCTACTCACAACTAAAGCTGATGGGTGTGTAAGTGGGTCAAATGCATTCTTCCTGTATTTTCTTTCAATAATATTTAAATAAAGTTGAATTCTCAAAGGGTTAATAGTAGGCTGCAATATGGGCACTGCAGTAATGGTATAGACTCATGTTCAACACTAACAACACATTATATTGATTAATGAGTGGATCAAAATAAGTGATTATGGCAGATGACACAGACAAATAAATGTCTTCATAGCTGACCTTTGGGCTGTGGGCCTCAAGTTTTAGCTGCATGAGCTGTGCTAACGTATGCTCCCGGATACTACTCAGTTCAGCTTGCTGCCGTCTCAGCTTTATTAGCAGCAGCGTAAGCTCCTCTGGCTGAAGGAGTACAATTTAAGAATCCAAACAGTGGAAAACAGATTAATTGTTGTCCTAAGTGACAGATATTAAACCAAGATTTCTTGGCAAGTTTCCTCTTATGGTTGACATCAAACATAGTGCCTAGGCACTATGATGATAGGTCCTACATAAATGCATAGATATCTAGAGAAATAGAAGGAATAGTGTTACTTTACAGCAAAATAACAGTATATTAAGGCATTTTCTCACAACGTATGAGAGAACATCTAAATGCTAAGTATAAAAAAAAGCACAATACCATTAATAAAGGGTCGTATACAAGAGTTATTAAAAGATTATTAAGATATTTATAAAAATTATACCTAAGATTTTCTAGCAATAGAACAATACCTGAATGTCCAACACACCATTTTAGAGAATAGAAGGCAAATAAAAAAAAATTCAAATTAATTTAAAACTTGGATATATTTTCACAATATAAAACTCAGTACCTGGATTTATTAATTACTTTCCAGTTATATTTTGTTATGTTACCATTAGTGCTTTCATAGCATTTAAAATACCAAAACAAGTATATATATATATATATATATATATATATATATATATATTTTGGTACTAGGGATTGAACTCAAGGGCACTTAATCACTGAGCCTCATCCCCAGCCCTATTTTTTTTATGTGTGTGTATATATCTATATCTATATATTTTTTTGAGACAGGGTCTCACTGAGTGGTTTAGTGCCTCACTTTTGCTGAGGCTGGCTTTGAACTTGAGATCCTCCTGTCTCAGCCTCCTGAACCACTGGGATTATAGGTGTGTGCCGCTGCGTCTGGCCCAAAACAAGTATATTTTTCAAAGATTAAAAAAAAAAGTTTCCAAGGGCACATAACCACTTCTTTCATATTAGGGAAAGCACAGAGTCTTTTGCATTCCTGAATGGTTACTAAGAGCAATAGGAGAGTAAATTTCAATGGTAAATGAAATTCCTTAACATGCCATTCTATTTTTCTTTGTTAGAAATGCTGTAAAAGTATGGGCACTGGTGATCTCACAGGCCATTAAGTATTATTTGGTGCTTCTCTTAGCTTTGTTATAATTAAAAACAGCAGGTAGGAGAGAGGCAGTCTCTTCTGAAGTGCTACAATGCACTCCTATCCAGGCCAAAAGTATTTCCAAGATTGATTTGCACTGTTTACATCACAGCATTACATTAGCTCTTTTCTGTTCTGTTAATTTGTGGTTGCTCTATATTTTCTATATAATCCTTTTTTAGAGACAGAAAGTATTTAACTGTTATTTGTAAGTACATTAAATATTACTGTCTTCAGATGGTAAGTGTCAAGAGAAGTAAACTACAACTCCTACTGGATTCTTTAGATAAAACTGGGTACCCCAGAGAGGCAAGACAATAGTTTTTATGGTATTAAGTTGTCAAAAACAATATGAAAAAAATAAAAAGTCAACAAATGTTTAGTTTCTGTGAATTGAAGAAACTATGTTAAGTGAAAAAGAATAGCCCAATTTGTTCAAAGCCAGCAATATCTTATAATCTCATGATTCTGAGACAGTTCTTGCCTCATGATCATCAGGCCAAGATCTTGAAATCCTGTCAGGGAGATATGGGTTGGAAGAAGGGATGCATAGATTCTAAAACCCAGAGTGATATTTGACAGGAATACTTAAACAAGAAATTTTGAACCTCTCATTTATTATTTATGAAACTAAAAAGATGAGAACATTTTCAAAATGATAAAATATCCCAATAAGTTTGCTATATAATTAAATTGAGGTCAAATAAAAAGGCATATTTGATTGGGAAAAAGTAGGAGAGGTGGTCTATATCCACTAGAGGGAGCAAGGCAGGAAAGAAAATATATGCTGTTTATCCTTTATTTTATGATTCATGTCTGTTTCTTCGTCAGATAATCTAATATTTATAAATACCAACATTTAAAAGTTTTTGGGTTTAACCAAAAAATATTTATATTCTTTAATAAATAAACTGCAGGTAGTTTAAAGCCAGGAATGATTTCCTTATATTTAAACATACAAAAGGTAAAATAAGGCAATATGTATAAAAACATAAAATGAATTTGTTTTGATTACTGCAGGAAGAGAATAATAAACAACCATTTAGGCACTAAAATCATATCTTCATAGAAATTAAGATGATCTAATAAGACAGTTTCCCTGATAAAAGAATGCTAATTAAATGAACTGAAGTGATTTAAAAAAATCTTTTCTCTTTGATTTGAAGAACAGTAATGCTGTGGTAATAAAAACCCTTCCAAATCTGACTATAATACTGATAATAAAATGATAATGATAAACACTTGCTTTGACCTAGTATTCTTATAGTCTGTCTTTCTCTGTGTAAATTAGTTATTTTTGGCTCCCAAGTAGTTAACTTATACCAAAATTCATAGGAAAAATTTCTTAGTGGGTCTGTAGTTGACTACAAATGGTTACTTAATGGATCTGTTCCACTAATGTATTACTCCAACTTCTGTTCTAAGGATAAGGAAATTAACAAATCAAAGAAACCCATCTATGGGTTAAAATATCATCTTTTATTTAGGCTGTCAGACATTAAAGGAAAGGAGTCCATTAACATACTGAAATGATTACATAATTCCAAATTCCTCTGATGTGGAACCTCTTCCACAAAAGCAGTAATGGTTTTTCTTTGGGAGATATCTCTGAAAATTTAAAACTTAAAAACTATGTCAGATATGTGCCTTCCTGAGTAGCATATAAAATAAATAAAACATAATATGGTAAATAAAGATATCACACTCACCGTTTTGCCTTGGAGGCTCTGGGGACTAACAGACTGTAAAGTTAGGCCAGCTGGCATTGACCTTCTGTCAGGCACATAGACATGCTAGGAAAATAAAGGTACAAATGATTCTGCGGTGAAGCTTTTTTTGATGAATATCACTGATGAGAAACTTTAATTTATATTATGAAATATCAATTAAAAGTTGCTATTAGTGCTTGTGAAGGAAGATACTAACACTTCTTGTTTCACTAAAATACAGATGCTGATGAACAGAGTGCATCTATGTAGTCTGATTCAGCAATTAAACTCTTTGATCTGGGGATCCCTTTATATTTTTAAGAATATATATACAGTTTTGCAAATTCAATGTCTGGCTGGAATCTCATATTTGCTTCTGTATTCATATTTGCAGTCTGTTGTAAAAATATCTTAGTGAAAGCATGTGAAAAAAATCTGCCCTGGATCCATGCAGTTGGAAAAGGGAGAACTTTAATAGTTTTTACTTTAATAATTGTAGATATTCGTCTTTTCCACTATTAAAGCTAAAAAAAAGCGACACTTTACTCAAATTTTTAAAGTTTAGTTGCAGAGTGGTATCTAAATCCATATCAATGAAGTTTTGAAAACCATTGGTCTATCTGCACTTTAACCTTCACCCAAGCATGATTTGGTAATATGAAACAGCAGTCATCTGGAAAATATTGGTTCAGTGAGCTATACAATGTTTCCAACATTGACACATTTCTGAATGACACATTTATTAATATTACCATCAATCTTTAAGCTCTGGAAGATATTAAGCTCAGAGTGGCAGATACACAAAATTCTGATTTTTTCTTAAACACTCAAATATTTTCATCAGGGACAAATACTGTCAGTTGTTTTCTTTGAAATAACAGGCTTACATTTCACTTTAAATGTATCTGTCAAATACCAATCTGAATAATCATACCTGTCTTTTGTTCAAATAAAAATGGTATTCTACAAAAAAGGAGCTAGCTTAGCTTGCAACTCAAATAATGTCATGGTATGCAACAGAAATGGTTTATGCATATTCCCATTTCATCACATGTAGCATTAAAATGATATGTAGTGACAGGTTAATTAAGATTCCATAAGATAGTTTCTCACCATTTCATCAACGGGAATCTTAACTTGCTATTTTATTTTTTATTCCAAGTATGTAGCAATGAAGCACACTACCACAACCGTCAGTATAGTTTGGGGACACAATCTTGATTCACTGTTTCGCTATTAGTGCAAATGGTAATATAATGAATAATGCCTTACTACTATAAAGATAGTTTTGAGTTTATACACTCCCTGGAAGGGCTGTGGAGATGTTTAGGGACTCTGTCCTTCACGGTTCATGGACTACACTTTTGAGAAGTAGTAATGTACTCCAAGGAAGATGAAAAGGATAGTATCAAAGAAAAATTTGGCAATGTTGAACAAATTTATTAGAAGTTGCAACAGTAGATACTCAGTTGTTCTGGGAACTGGACAGATAGTATATTTATTACTGGAACAAGTGATATATTTGGCTAAGAACATGAAACTACTGAAAATCAGGAGAGCATATAATTTAGCCACTTTAAATGCTTACATTAAACTGTATTAAATCAGATTTTTCTTGTATATTGATACGATTTTTATCTATTATGATTTAGTCTTTGGATGTACAAAGTGCCAAAACAATAAAATTTGTTAAATGAGTTTAAAGTGAGGCTTTTAAAGGCAAACTTTAGGCTCCCCCTCACTGTTTTTTTGTGGTGCTAAGGACTGAACAAACCTCAGGGCCTCATGTACACTAGTTAAGCACTCTACCTCTGAACTATATTCCCATCCTTCAAGCTTTCTTCAAAATAAAATTCCTGATTGCTTTAGTAATTTCCAACAAATGTTTATGGAAATAGCAAGTAAATATTTTGTTCAATAATGTAACTGCAGTTATTTGGCCTGTCTCAAGGAAAGAAGATACATTTCTAAATGGTGTAGGGTAAGAAATTTTTTAGGAATTAGAAGTAAAAGGACATTCTTTTTATTTTAGGACTGACTTTAGGGAACTGAATTTATAATGGCTAACTCATTACAACATCTGCTTTGGCATTATTCAAAGATGATTGACACAAAATATTAAATTAACTTCAAATAGGGGCTGTGGTTTTGGCTCGGTGGTAGAGCACTTCCCTAAGCATGTGTGTAAGGCACTGGGTTCGATTCTTAGCACCACAAAAATAAATAAATAAAGGTATTGTGTCCATGTATAACTAAAAATATTAGTTTTCAACTAAAAATATTTAAAAAATTATCAAGTAATCCACTAAACAACTAACTTAAGGTACAAATTAAAAATGATTTATGGGGCTGGGGATATAGTTCAATGGTACAGCACTTGCTTAGTATGTGCAAGGTCCTGGGTTTATTCCCCAGCACCACAAACAAAAACAAAGAAACAAAAAAAACCAAACCATGATCTCTACCTGTATTTTAATTTCTCAAGGTGCATATTATTAAATATTGGTAGTCTCTAATGTTCAGTTAGGTATATAAGGAGTTCTCAACATGCCAGTCACCTGGTTAGAAGGTAAATCCTAGTAAAACACCAGGACAAGCTAGATTCAAAGACTGCAGGTATACCAGAAAAGGACAGGTATTTGGCCTGTCTCAAGGGAAGAAGAATTCCCAAGTGTGTAAAGAGTAAATAAAAATACACGTTGTCTTCAACATAGAGAGCTGATGAGATATGCTATCAGACAGAGAAGAACGCATAATGCTTGAAAGAATTGTTTCTATGGTATTAAGAGATGAAGCATTGCCAACTTAGATTTTATACATAAGAACAGTCTTTCTTTTCTCCCTAATTTCCTGCCTCTCACATTTTAAAGAAGAGCATATTAGAAAGAAAACATAACATCTATTAAATAGTGAGTTAACACAATATTAGAACACATTTTACCTTAGGGTGATGACCCCTGTGTCTACGGTCTATTGTCACATCTCCTCTCTGAATTGGTGAAGATACTTCTGATCTATATGTTCTCTGAGGGGAGTAACCCTGGTAAGCAGCTATTGAACCATGGGAAGGTGATGTGGGAATAGAGTGCATTGTTTGGTCAGAAATATTAACCATGGTTTTAGGACTGCTCAAAGAACTGTGTCGAGGAAGGGTGCTCTGCTTATTATAGAACTGACGCTGTTGCCATTCGTAGAGCTGCCACATAGTGTCATCTCTCATCGACCTCCGTTTCTCTTCTGCTCCAGCTCCTACTGTCTTGTCATGACTGGAAGGGGTCACACTGCAGATACTTTCAGGCCTGGTCTTGCTGTTTCTTGGGAGTGTTCTATAACCCTCAGGGTAGCGGGCCATAATCTGGGCTCTGTGGCTTGGCATATTTCTTGGTAAAGTTTGGTAAGAAATTACTCTAAAATAGAAAATAATTGAAACATAAAAATGAAGGAGAAAGTTGTTTACAAATTCCAAATTATAGTACATTTCTTTTTTTCTGGTAAGTAAACTATTTAGTATATTTTTTAAAGACTCAAAATACTGGTCTGAGGATACAGCTTAGTAAAGTGCACTAACACTGCCTAGCAGATGAAAGGCCCTGGGTTTGATCCACCAGTACCAGGAAACAAACAAACAAACAAAAAAGATTGATGAAATTCAATTTTAAATAAATAGCATTTATGTCTATAGCAACTACATAAAAGGACTACTACTTTCACAAAATTTACAGTTTGGCTTTAAAAAAAAGAATATTTACTATACTTCATTTGAGAAATAAGAATGTTCAGAAACTCATCTCAATTGTACCCCTACATTTTATTTATTTTTACATAAATAAACGCCCAGAACCTTATTTCTATACATCTCATCAGAAAAGCTGAATAGGATTTCTGTGTACAAATGTATTGAAATATGCAAGTTTTCAAGTTGTACCTATGAAGCATAAAAATAGGTAATGAATTATTCCATTACAAAGTAGTTGACTATTCTGTTGTAATTTTTCCTTTGGAATGCATGGCTGATTATAGGAGGAAGAACAGAAGTGCATTTGTGGCCTGAAGTAGTAACTCTTTATAACTTCCCTAACTTGAAAATTAGAAATGATTTTAGACTAAAGATCAGAATCTCATTATTTAAAGACAAAGCAAACTACAATCTTAAGAATTCTGCAATGTTTCCAACATAGTAATCAATATTCTACTTCAAGACGATATCAATATTTTGGGAGAGTTTTGCTTTAAAGTACTCTAGAAACTAATGTACATTAAACATAAAATATAATTCCTTTAAAATGCAAATTCTTAGAATCAAATACCTAATTGCACATTACTAATAAACTCAGAATGTCATTGCAGTATTCAAAATGAAACAATAAAATTCCAATTAACCACTCATAAAATTTTGATAATGTTTGTCAAAATTATTTCTGTGCTAACCTCACGGTAGGTCAAATATATGAAATGAATTTTAAAGTTAACTAAAAATTCTACATGAAGTATATTGTTTCCCCAGTATTTTCAGAGACATGTAAGGTTAAAATTCAGATTCTAGGTACAAACAGTCTTTTATAATCACCAACCACAGAAAAAAATCTAAATTAAAAAAAATTAAATTATAGCTGGGTTTGGTGGCACACGCCTGTAACCTCAGAAGCTCGGGAGGCAAAGGGAGGAGGATCACGAGTTCAAAGGCAGCCTCAGCACAAAGTGAGGCACTAAGCAACTCAGTGAGACCCTGCCTCTAAATGAAATATAAAATAGGGCTGGGGATATGGCTCAGTGGTTGAGTGTCCCTGAGTTCAATCCCTCGTATCCCCACTCCCCACCCCAAATTAAATTAAGAATGTCCATATTAGGGGCTAGGGATACAGCTCGGTGGTAGAGCACTTGCCTGGCATGCATGAGGCCCTAGGGTCATCCTCAGCACCACCAAAAAAACCACAAACAAACAACAAAGGTCCATATGCTACCATCTCCATGGGTATACGTTTATATCTTAATGTAAAAATCAATCTACTTTAATGAACTAATAAATATCGTAGTGGGGTTGTTGGGACTCCATGAACCCAGGTTTCTTTATCACTTCTTTAAATGTTTACTTAATAAATGTCTCCTAATTATTATATTTTCACCATAGAATATACTTTGGAATTATGCATGCACACCTGCGTGCTTTGCTGCCTCCTACTGGTCATTAAAATGTCACAGATGTTGGTAATTACACAAATCACAAAGGGTAAAAAAAACTAATGTGTAAATTACCTGACCACAATTTTAATAATCTGGAAATCCTTGGCTGATAATCTGAATGCTAAAGTCCTTTTGATACAAAAACTTTATATCAGTAACAATGCATAAGTATTAAAATATTATAGTAAAAAAATACCATTGTGATCAGGTGTAATAAATTGAGATATGAAGCATGATAACAATGGGTATAAAATTATGTTACTTTTATACAAAGACAAAGTCTCATGTTAAATAAGTACAACTTTTCTTTGTGGGTTTAGGAACCCACAAAGCAGATAAGATTGAAACATATAGCAACATGGGGGATAAACAGTAATGCAGGAAAAAATGGTTGATCAAAAAATTACCAGAACAAAGTTTTGATTCTTGCTTTTTTGCTAAATACTTAGATAAGTTACACCAATTGCTTTGAGAATGCTAAGACAGTGGGGGAACAGCATAGTAAAGATAAAAAAAATGCAGTCAAGGGAAGTTGATTCCATCCAAGAGACTGCCCTTGTATTAAAGCAGGATTATTTGGTCATTCATCAAATTTAAGAAATACTGTAAAACATGCAAACGAGTCTAACTTAAGCATGTACTATATCATGAAAATGTATTCATAATGAAGGGACATACACTGCCAACCTAAAACATAGGAAAAACTACCTCTAAACCAATGTATAAATTACAGTTCAGAAAGTCTTATTAAACCAAACACCTCTGTCAGTGTTGAAGCATTCATAATGTGTGAGCTGGATTCTGTTGTACACAATGTACATTAAACTTGAACTGTCAAACCATCATATGATCATCAACACGGTTTTTTTTTTCAAGTTAGTGTGGTTAATTAATAATTATTAAGTTTAAAAGGTTTTCTGCCATCTTTGGAATCACTTTTGGGGGACTTTTGGTAGAAAATTAAGTTATTATTAAGTAAAATCATTTTTGTCCCATACACTTTCTTGTATTTGGAGACCTGTTTTTCAAAAACTACATTTCCTTCAGTAATTTCCCCCCAAAGAAATTCAAATTAAGCAAAGTGTGTTTTACTTTTAAGTGAAAGCTTAAGAAATGAATACTGTAAGCTCCTTCATCAGGTTTCTTGGCTTATTCACCAGCAGCTGCCTGTCAGACACTATGAAAACCCTGTCCCTGTGATTATGCCATGCAGAATAATGGCTTAAGGCACCATGCATCTTTACAGTGCCTGCTACTCACAAAGAAACTTTAAAGCTTTGTTCACGGACACAGGGCCCTATCATTTGACTAAATATTAAACCTTTTAATCTTTTTATCAGGACTTTAATAATAAAAGAAATCTTTTCATAAGGTTGAAAAAATGAATTATTCCAAGAATTACAATTTTGCTTCTTTCTACCAATAAAAAGTACCATGACACCTTTTAAATGATAAGGTTTATTTAATAATGTAGAAGGTATTTTTCAAAGATCCAAAATAGATTCTAGTTATTTCAAAAGAATATCTAATTAACAACATTTATGGAAATTGGCATCACTATGAACCCAAAGATGACAGAATCCAGAGCCTTAGCTTAAAATAATTTAAGACCACCCTTTACAAGCCACCGATGTGCACTGAAAACAGTCACAGAAAGACTTTATAAACATTAATTATATTTATCAAGGGACTTAAAATTAACATTTATACTTAACAAAAGCAAAAACCTAATTTCCAAATACTTGCTGAATCTTTTTATACCCTTTTAAACTACAGAAATAATTAATTTATTTAAGGGAAAGTGATTGTTCTTTGATGTGAGATTTAACTTGGCTAGAGATTCAGCAAATCTTCTGATTGTAATTTTTATTATTTTCTTGAAAGTGATTATTTTACCAAATAATTCCACATATCTTTCCATTTTCTTCCCCAGAACTATTTCTTGCTTCTTTTCTAATCTTTATTTAACTTATTCATTTTGTCATTTTATCCAACATTTAAGAATTAACTTTTATTTATACATTTATATATTAATCAATTCACTTATTTATAATTTTGACCAATCTGGTAAGTTAAAAATATTCTCTCTTTTGTTTTTAGTGTGCAGTCTGAGCATTGCTCACTCTTTTCTTTTTTTACAAATTGACAAAAATTGCATACATTTCTCATATACAACATGATGCTTTAAAATATGTATACAATGTTAAATTGCTAAATAAAGTAAATTAATATATATATAACCTTATGTGTTTTTTTTGGTAGTGAAAACACTGAAAATCTCTTTCAGCAATTTTCATACATACAAATACATTACTAAAACTATAATCATTATGTTGTATAATCGACGTGCTAAATTATGTTTCTGAAATAGCAGCTATTTTTCACAGTTCTCCCTTGGGAAAATTAGAAAAGAGAATAAAGAGTGTTAAAAAAAAACAAACAAACAGGTCAACTATATATCATATAGAGGATATATTTGCATCATTGTAGGAAATAATAGATGAAGCCAAGTGTACCCAGGCTTTTGAGCTACACTTGTAGAAGAAAAGAGACTTCTGACAATTGTAGAAAACTGGAAGAATATTCTTACACCTCAGAAATTTCACTATTAAAATAATCTTCATTCAATTAACAAAATCCCAAAGCATCATTTAAGTCATTGTTTCCTGGTTTTCTACTGCTCAGAGTTAAAGTAACTATGCAGTTAATTTTTATGTTTAGTAGAATAATAAAGTACTTTTAAAAATTAAAATTTACTTTTTGATTTTATTTCTTTAATTTTTTTTGTGTGTGAGGGTACTGGGATTGAACCCAGGAGTGCTTTACCACTGAGCTATATCCTCAGCCCTTTTTTATTTTGAGACAGAGTCTTGCTAAGGTGCTTAGGACTAACTCTAAAATGCCCTCTTTAAAATGTAAAATTTTGGGCTGGGGATATGGCTCAAGTGGTAGCGCGCTCGCCTGGCATGCGTGCAGCCCAGGTTCGATACTCAGCACCACATATAAACAAAGATGCTGTGTCCGCCGAAAACTAAAAAATAAATATTAAAAATTCTCTCTCTCTCCCTCCCCCCCCCCCAGAGGAGGACATACAATCAATCAACAAGTACATGAAAAAATGCTCACCATCTCTAGCAGTCAGAGAAATGCAAATCAAAACCACCCTAAGATACCATCTCACTCCAGTAAGATTGGCAGCCATTATGAAGTCAAACAACAACAAGTGCTGGCGAGGATGTGGGGAAAAGGGTACACTTGTACATTGCTGGTGGGACTGCAAATTGGTGTGGCCAATTTGGAAAGCAGCATGGAGATTCCTTGGAAAGCTGGGAATGGAACCACCATTTGACCCAGCTATTCCCCTTCTCGGTCTATTCCCTAAAGACCTAAAAAGAGCATACTACAGGGACACTGCTACATCGATGTTCATAGCAGCACAATTCACAATAGCTAGACTGTGGAACCAACCTAGATGCCCTTCAATAGATGAATGGATAAAAAAAATGTGGCATTTATACACAATGGAGTATTACTCTGCACTAAAAAATGACAAAATCATAGAATTTTCAGGGAAATGGATGGCATTAGAGCAGATTATGCTAAGTGAATCTAGCCAATCCCTAAAAAACAAATGCCAAATGTCTTCCTTGATATAAGGAGAGCAACTAAGAACAGAGCAGGGAGGAAGAGCATGAGAAGAAGATTACCATTAAACAGGAACGAGAGGTGGGAGGGAAAGGGAGAGAGAAAGGAAATTGCATGGAAATGGAAGGAGACCCTCATTGTTATACAAAATTACATATAAGAGGAAGTGAGGGGAAAGGGAGAGAAATGAATTAAAGTAGATGGGGTAGAGAGAGAAGATGGGAGGGGAGGGGGGATAGTACAGGATAGGAAAGGCAACAGAATACAACAGACACTAGTATGGCAATATATAAAAACGTGGATGTGTAACCGATGTGATTCTGCAATCTGTATACGGGGTAAAAATGGGAGTTCATAACCCACTTGAATCAAATGTATGAAATATGATATGTCAAGAACTATGTAATGTTTTGAACAACTAATAATAAAAAAAATAAAATGTAAAATTTTCCCATCAAAAGGTACTTATTTTTCCTCTATTTCCTCTGGCCTGTATCAGTGGTGTTATTGTTCAGGCTCCCCATCTATTATTCCTTTCAGGTTTTTCCTTAAAAATCTTTCTTTTATTTAGTCTCCCCAATGAATTCTTACACTTTTTACTTTTTTTGTATGTGTGTGTGGCACTGGGGATTGAATCAAGGGCCTTGTGAATGTGAGGCAAGCACTCTACAAACTGAGCTATATCCCCAGCCCTTCACACTTACTTTTAATTATTTTGATATACTGATGCCATTTCCAACTATATTCAAGTTCAGTCTGTATCTCTTTGGAGATACAGACTCACAGGAACCACAATTTTTTTTTGGTGTGTGTGTGTGTGTATGTGTACCTCTGAGGTACATCTCTAGAATTTCTTATTTTGAGACAAGGTCTTGCTCAATTGCCTAGGCAGGTCTTGAACTTGTGATCCTCCTGCCCCAGCCTTTCAAGTCACTGGGATTAAGGTGTATGCCACCATACCTGACTAGAGGAAAAAAATTAACACTTAGTCATGTGCCTTCTGATTTATTAAAGAAAGTCCAGGAATGAGTCTTGAGAATTAGAAAATAATAAAACTTAATTATCTCCATGATATTTGTCTCAAGATCTCCTTACATTGCTCTAGGATAAGGAAGGAAAGTCAGATCAGCACTAGGATGTAGAAGCTCATAAGGAAGGAGAGTCATATTAGGGAAGTGGGGAAGTTAGAGACAAATCTCTATTAACTAGAATTCCAGGAGGAGGAGATAGTGGCAGAGGGACAAGGTGAGAATAGGGCTTAGTCTCTCCATCATCCAAAACTTGACCTTTACCTACAAGTTATAAGTCTTTCCTTGTGCTGGACCCGGAAGGATAACCCCTTGCTACCAGCAAAACAAAATGACGGCACAATGAAGAACAGAAAAAAAAATATTTACGTCTGATCACTATGAGCAAAAGACCAAACTATAATATCTAATACTTTCAAGTAGTAGCTCAGAAACCAGTCTCCACCAACAAAACATCAAAGAAACCTGAATTCTGAGTAACAAGACACTTACCCTCTGGTTTCTTCTTCATGTCCCCTCCCTTTCTGGATTTTAATCCATTGTTCCAACTGTTGCATTGAATTTGTTCTTTGTATGACTCGATCAGCTTCTGTGTGCAAAGGCCCTGTATTTGGGTAATTTCCTCCTCTAAGATCTGCTAGGCTGACATTGACTATTTTGTTCTCTGAACTATTCACATTGACTTGTCTGTAGTGTGCAGTCTGGGCTAGGCATGATGACCCACTATCATATTCAGATGGCAAAGAATTCAACTTTACACTATTAATTTTTGTCAAAGGTCTATCTTGACCATCCTTCTGAAATCCGTATTTTTCAGCTTCTAATGCCCTTTTTTCTTCAATTTTGCCTATTTCCTTGTTTTTTTGGTTGTTTTGGGCCTCTGGTTTAATTAGCACTCTATGGTTGGGAATGTTATTGGTTTCTTTAGTTGGTATACTTTCGGATGTAATCTTGTCCACTCTGAAATTAGAGAAAAAAAAAATCATAGTAAATCAGATGAAATAAGGCAGGTGTTATACTTGGGATTCAATCTAGGAAAAATCTGACATCACAAAAACAAGCAAATATACCCAAAAAGAGTCACAGAGGACAAGTCTGCTGAAATCCTTAAAGCTGTGGTATTAACATTCAAGCACATCACCAAAATATATAAACAGAGAGGGGAAGAAGAAATCATAAGTAAAAAGCACTAGAGGATAAAAAGTGGTGTGTGCCCCCACCATTAGAAATCTGGAAATAAAGCAAATGAGATTTCTTTTAACAGTTAAAACAACAAAATTGTAGTCAGTCACTTGAAATAAACATGGCTCCCAGCCATGATGGTTAGCTTTCCCATGAGACAAACATGAGTGCTAGTAGGAATAGCTGCAATAGGAAATCACAGCCTGATGCTATCACAGATCTAAACTGTAAGACTAGCTCTTTGTGTGCAAGAATATGTAAGCATGGTTTTAGAGCTTGTGGAGACAGACTACATTGTTTTCAGTGACCAATTCTACCAGTGACTAGCTGTCTTTGGACAAGGTACAGAAACTTGCCTCAAATTTGTCTTTGGAAATGGGTTTAATTGCAGTACCAAGATTAGAGGGCTGTTATGAGAACCAGATGAATTAATCAGTGGCAGGCACATCCCTTAGGACCAGAAGTGTTCTTATCGAACAATTCTGGATTAGAATCTGATATTTTCTGTTTATTTGCCCAACCAAGGAAAGCGGTAATTCACAGCATGTGTCTGGGCCACTTGAGAGGTCACTACCAACCATTCCAGTTGCTATCTCTAGGCCTTTTTGATGAGAATCAGTTTTTCTGAGCCTATCATATCCATGCTCTGACAAGATCAAGTTGAGTACCTGAATTTGTATCAAGCTGCCAATATCATGCCATTCAGGGAGGACTCTCAGGAACTGGCTAACTTTCATGTTTCTTTTCATGGGTACTCTACCACTAAGCTAATCCCCAAATTCCTTTTACATTTTGTTTTGAGAAAGGGTCTTACTATGTTGCCCAGGCTGGCCTTGAATTTGGAATTTTTCTGCCTCAGCCTCCCAAGATGCTGGGATTGCAACATAAGTCATTCTGCATGGCCTTCCACTTTTCAATACATATAATAATATTCCTAATTGAGCCTACATGTTTTTTGCTACCAAGTTTTGTGATGTGTGGAAAATATAATATACCCACATACATATGTCTACATTCCAACTATAAAGATATATAGATATAAGATATCTACAGACAGTTTGGGAAACAGTGGTTAAGGACAAAATGAAAAGAAATGCAATAAGTTTTCTTGGAGTAAGTTATAGCCTACCTTCATATTTAAGTTAGATATAAACCACAGCTTCCAGATTGGAATAAATAACAGAAATAGGAAAAGTTTACTAAGATATACTAGGGACCTTCTTTCCCTTGCAGGGTAATATTATTAGAAAAACTTCCACACAAAGCAAATTTATCCTTGCTGAATTTTGGGCAGTGGGGAATTAGCACTGAATATTAAATATCTTATTATTTTTTTTTAATATTGGGGATTGAAGACAGGGGTGCTTTACCACTGAGCTATATTCTCAGCTCTTTATATTTTTAAATGTTAAGACAAGTTCTCAATAAGTTTCTCAGAGCCCTGTTAAGTTGCTGAGACTGGCCTAAAACCTGTAAACCTCTTGCCTCAACCTCCTGAGTTCCTGGGATTACAGGCATGTAATACTATGTGGCTATCTTTAAAAAAATTCAAATCTCTTCATTTCTAGTCTATCTATCTAAAGTTATTCCTCTAAATTAGGACCATGTGCTTTTCCTAAAGATTTTTCATTGAGGATATCAGGTAAAAGACACAAAGATGACTTCTTTGTAAATGAAAAAGTGACTCAGAAAACTATGCTAAGATCACATAAATAATGCAAAACTCACTATCTAATGCAAAACTCATGATCTAATTTAAAAGAATAACATTTAAGCTATTACAGAAAATATAGCAAAAGTTAGTACAGCCATTATGGAAAAAGGTATGAAGGTTCCTCAAAAAACTAAAAATAGAATTGCCATCTGATCTAGAAATTCCACTACTGGGACTATATCCAAAGGAACTAAAATCAGTATTTCAAAGACACATCAACATTTTCATGTTTACTGCATGACAATAAACAATATTGTCCACAATAATCAAAATATGAAATCAATCTGGATGTTCACTGATGAATGAATGGATAAAGAAAATGTGACATATCTATGTGTGATATATATACATGCGTATGTGTGTGTATAGGTATATACACACAAAAAATAGTATATATATAAATTAAGAAGTCGATATATTTAGAAATAATTTAGATATATAGACACACACACACACAATGGTATATAATTATTCAGCAATGAAAGACAGTAACTCTGTCATTTGCTGTGACATGGATGAACCAAAGATCATTATGTGAAAAAAGATAAGCAAAGTATAGAAAGACAAAAATGTTCTCACTTACATATGAAACCTAAAATGTTTAAAGAAGTAGAGAACACAATAGTGATTATCAAAGTATGGAAAAGCATGAAGGGGAAAGGATGGATCGAGGATGGAAATGGGTCCAGGTGTGCAGCTGGATAGGAGGAATAACTACTGTAACCCAATAGGAAAAGTATAGTTGATACTAATTAACTGAATATTTAAAAATAACTAGTAGAGAGGATTTTGAATGCTTCTAATAAAAGAAATACGTATAAGGTAACAGGTATGCCTGATATGATCATCACACACTATATACATTTTTTTTAAATTTTTTTATTTGTTTTAATTAGTTATATATGACAGTAGAATGCACTTATATACTTTGATATATCATACATAGATGGGACTATATACATGTTTTGAAATGTAACACTGTATCCCAAAAATATTTATAATCACTGTTACGTAGATCAAAAATTAAAATGTAGGTTTGGGAGTATGTCTCAGTGATGCAGTGCTTGTTTATTATGTTTATTATGTAAAAGCCTCTGGGCTAGATCTTCAGAACCCAATACAAAATGAAGTTTACAAACAAAACAAAAACAATACACACACACAAATATAATAAGACATATAAAATGAAAATAATGGGCCAGGCTGGTGGTGCATGCCTGTAATCCCAGTGACTCATGAGGCTGAGGCAGGAGGATCTCAAGTTCAAACCCAGCCTCAGAAACTTAGCAAGGCCTTAAGAAACTCGGCAAGACCCTGTCTCATAACAAAACATTAAAAAGGCTGGGGATGTGGCTCAGTGGTTAAGAGCCCCTGGGTTCAATCCCTGATATCAAATAAATAAATGTATTCAATTATCACTGACTAGAAACAAAACTTAATTGTATTATAAATCTTTTTAAAAATATAGGAATATATATAAACACTTATTTTTTAAAGTACATTTATTCAGCTTCTATTTGTGTTGTTTGAGAAACAGATTTATTTTGACTAGTTTTTAATATAGTTGAGTATTAAAAATGATTCATATCTTCAAGCAGGAAAGAGAAACCATTCTTAGATCAATTTTAATAGTACATACCTATATTATGAAGGAATCTGAGTAATGGAGTTTTAAAAGAAAGAAGGTACAATTAATTAAGAAGTGGATATATTTAGAAATAATTTAAATGCTCGATGAACTATTTTCTGGAAATATTCATCATAAAATAATCAGAATTCAGTAGAAAATGTTAAATAAAATTCCTCAAATTTCTTATTATAATTTATTAAACTTCAAAATAAACATAAAATAAAAACAAATTAACTTCATGACAATAAATTCTCTCCTAAGATTTAGGATCTTGTAAAAAACACTGTCTTGAAGAATAAAAATTCTGTGTAGCTTTAAAATAACAATTAAAAATGTACTTACCGGAAATTAAAGGTAATTCTGTAAGAAGAAAGAACATTCAGTTTGAATGTTAGGATTCTAGATTCACCCCAGTACACTGATAGGTGAAAATGAGTAAAGAGGAAAGGTGAAATAAAAATGTACGTGGTATCTTAAACAAAAGTCATATTAACTTAATATAAACATGAATTAATCCTTGCTTTCTAAGGGAAAACTGATTTTATATCATGACTACTAAAATGATATGTATATGATAATGAATACTTGCAAGGTATGGAATAAAATGAAAGTGGAAATCACTGTTATTTTCCTTATAGGCCTTTACCTTTTCACAGGTTCTGTCTGTACAAGGGCAGCATCTAACATGGCTTTCATCCACAACTCCATTTCCTTTCCTGTATCAGTGCAGAAATAATATGTCCGCATGTTTGGATGGGCTGCCTGATTGAAAATAACACGATCATTTTATCATAAAAATATGGAATCCTGTAAAAGAAAAAGAAAAAAAGGTAAGTGGTTCCTTACCTAGATCATTACTATTTTATTTCAAAGAAAAGTAGACTTCTTTTGTATGTGATATAAAGTAATTTAAGAAAAACTATAAGTAGTAATGTTGAAAAAGATACTATTTTTCTCTTAATTTTTCTTTTAGTTGTGTGTTCTCTAAAAATTAAAAAAAAAAAAAAAAAGTAGTTAGGAAGGAAAGAATGTTACGAAATGAAGCATTTAATGCTGTCTTTTCCATGTATACATCTCTAGCAATTTTCACTACTGCAAGTCACTGCAAGAATAATGAGCAACTAGCAACAAAATTTCCCCCTGGTGTTAACAACTTGTTTAGTTCTCAAAAGCTGCTGTTACTTTGTAGAAATCTTAGCAGACATCTATACACAAACTAAAATAAAAGATTTATAAATGATTAAAAAAATGATTACTTCCTATTAATTTTTATCTTTTTTAGTTTCATAGTTAAAATTTAAATAACAGTTTCAGTTAGAAGAAACCTCATGTAACTGATACAGGTTTTTCTACTACTTCTTCTTCTTCTTCTTTTTTTTTGTTACTAGGGATTGAACAAACCCAGGGCCTCACTCATGCTAAGCAAGCACTCTACCACTAACACCTGCTTTTTTTTTTTTTTTTTTTTAAATCATGGTTCAATCTGCATCTTTATCAGTGAAACAGAAGGAAAACAAAAGATGCTGATGAGATGCCTGTACAGGGTGTAAACACTAAACATTGATCTTAATCTCTGGTCTGACTTGCAAAGAAGGAGAGCAGAAAAAGCTGTGTTGAAGCAGGAAAGAAAGTGGAGGTCAGGAGTGAGGAAATGTTTTTAATTTCCTCCACAGTGGTACATGCTTATAACCCTAGCTATTCAGGAGGCTAAGGCAGAAAAACCACAATTTTGAAACCAGCCTGGACAACTTTGTGAGTCTCTGTCTCAAAATAAAAAATAAAAAGGGATAGAGATATAACTCCCAGTAAACCCACCCATCTCTAAAAGTCTGTGATCATTGTCCATTAGATGGCCCATTAGGCTATTTCAGCCTAGAGTGAGGGAAGCATAATAAGTATATAGTTAGTGTGCTAAATAAATGTAAAAAAAGGAAAGGAATAAATCTGGAACCACATACTTCATTCTTCTAAGATCTGATTATCTACTTCATCTACGATGCCAAATTAGTTTCTGAAAACTTTTTTTTTTAAGGATACACATAAATTTAATGAACACACTATTAAAAATAATGGCATAACCAATCAATTTCACTTGATTATATAGGAAATAACCATATCAACACAGCTCAAAAGAAACAGATCAAATGCCCCATATTGTTCAAATTATTAAAACTGCCACAAAATGTCACTGAACTGTCCAAGCAGGCTTCTGAAAAAATAAAAAGTCACTGCCCATGCTAGAAGGCCACCCACTCTTGCTATCAGTCAAGTGGAAATATTTACCAGATGTCAAACTACCCAATCCAGCTTTATGTTCCATGCTTGAGTATATACAGTATTTATCTATGATGTTTCTACTTAATTTAAATTTTTTTTTTTTAGTTATACATGGACATAATATGTTTATTTTCTTTATTTATTTTTATGTGGTGCTGAGGACTGAACCCAGTACCTCACATGTGCAAGGCAAGTGCTCTGAGCCACAACCCCAACCCACTACTTACCCTTTTGATAAGTAGTAGCATCAGTGTCAACAGACTCAGTAATAAAGCAGATCATAAATTCAGAAGAAACACCATGGAAGAGAGAATTTGAGACAGCAATTACTCTTCTTGTTGTAGAAAAAATAAAATTAAATCAAATAATTACAGAAAAAATATATTAAACGTGTATTTACTTTTATTGCTATTTTAAAATTCTAATATTTTTTAAGAGTCTAAGAATCCAGGCAAACTGTCCTACAAACAGAAAAAAACTCAATAAACATCGGCTAAATTGACAAGCAACAAAAAACTTAAGCTTCTAACCAAATAACAGAATTACTATTATATAGTCCTACATGTGTATTTTATAAAGTTATTATGTTTATCCACATTTTGCTATAACATTTTGTTACAATACTTAAAAATATTTAATTTTTTTCCTCTAGTTTACCCATTGTTTCTTTTTTTTGGGGGGGAGGGGGCGGTATTGGGGATTGAACTCAGGGGCACATGACCACTGAGCCACATCCCCAGCCCTATTTTGTATTTTTATTTAGAGACAGGGTCTCACTGAGTTAGTTAGCGCCTCACTATTGCTGAGGCTGGCTTTGAACTCACAATCCTCCTGTCTCAGCCTCTGAGCCACTGGGATCACAGGCGTGCACCACTGTGCCCGGCCTTACTCACTGTTTATAAGTTTATTCTGATAAATTTTATTTAAATAAGAAGTTACTCCTCTTTTATCCTCAGGCCTCATATTATGTTCTCAAAAGGTTATCCATATTTATCCCATCCTTCTATCTCTACTCCTCTTACCTCTATACCTAATAACATAATACATTAATTACCTAAAGTTATAAATCAATTGTGATCCTTAGTATTCTTTTAAAGTAAATAGGCCCAGCAGTTCGAGAGGCTGAGGAAGGAGGACTGCAAATTCAAAGCCAGCCTCAGCAACTTAGTCAGGTCCTAAGCAACTTAGCAAGACCCTGCCTCAAAACAAAAAATAAAAAGGGCTGGGAATGTGGCTCAGTAGTTAAGTGCCCCTGGGTTCAATTCCTGGTACCAAGGCAGGGTGGGGGGGGGGGGGGGAGGTAAACAAGTATTTAAAATTGAATAAATTGATAACAAGATAAACACTTTTTATTGTTAAACGATAGTATATATTATTCTTACTTGCCTCTTTTTCTTTAAAATGAAATTTCTACATTAAACCCTTTAGAGTTCTTCAAACATAAGTGACCCAAAGTGAGGGAAAAAAAGGGAGGACAAGGGGCAGGGAAAAAAAAAGAGGTTAACTTTTGGAATTTATTTTAGTCATAATCATTAAGACAAGAAATGCAGCATGGTTTTTGAAAACAAAAATTTACCTATTTAGCATTAAAGTGTTTTTTACTGAAAGTGATCCACAAACCAGCAAAATCACAGAGATGAGCAGGTAATGTCATGGGAGTGGATCTCAGGTCTGGTTGGATTTAATAATGGCAGATTTAATGTCTTAACTTCAGTTGTCTCGGGAAAATTATCAGATGAGCATTATACACTTAGACCTAAGAACATGTTTGCAATTATCCTATAAATTCATAAATACACATATATTATGCCAAAAACCAGTTGTCTTTTATAATTCTCTTACCACAAATTTATTATGAAAAAATTCCAGCATATAGTAACTTTGAAAGAACAGCATGATGATCACCAGGACATCTGTATCTATATTTATGAATTATTTAGCATTTTGACATTCTTTATCTAGAACCAATTGAAAACAGGTATGAAGGCACCAGATCTCTGAATATTTCAGCATGTTTCCTAAAGGGACTTTGTCCCATACAACTACTATAAGACCATTAATTAATATTTTAAATATTAAAAAAAACAGCATAGCTGAAATATCTTTTCCCAAATCTGTGGATCAATATCTATTTTTATAATCAATGCAAGTTTTAAACACAGAATAAAACAGCACGATTATTTCCTTACCTTAAAAGCATATTTGCGATTAATGTGATCCTCAGAGGTTAGCATAGCTATCTGAAAACTAGGTAATAGTATGCTTCCCAGGATACCCTCTTCTTTCTCATCTAAGAGATAATATTGGATTAGAATGTTAAATGTTCTCATGAAGCAGAATAAGTTTTCTCAAAATTTATTTGGAACAAATCAAAAGGTTCTTATATATAATTGTATTTACGTTTAGGCAGATCTTTCTAAGGTTTTAAATGAAAACTTCAAATAGCAGAAAGATATTTATTTATTATCAACAGGTTTTCCTATTCTAAGCAAATAAAAAATTGCTTACAAAAAATGTCTCTTACACACAAAAACATTGTACACTTCTTTGGTTTATGTGGTGCTGCATTCTATAAAATCCCTTTGCATAGTATTCCCTCAAAATACATTAGCATGTAAGTGATTACACAAAAACTTTAATCCTACCCACATTTATGGTAGGATTTAAATGCCCAACCATTTTAATGCCAGGTAAATATGTGGTTCACTTGCTTACATCCTTCAGTCTTTGCTCAACTGACTCATCAATGAGGCTTTCCTTGGTTACCCTAATATAAAATGTTTTGCAAGTTCAAAGTCATCTTCAGCAACTTTACAAGGCCCTAAGCAACTCAGCGAGGCCCTGTCTCAAATAAAAAGGGGCTGGAGATATAGCTCAGTGGTAAAGCACCCCAGGGTTAAATCCCCAGTACCAAAACCAACCAACCAACCAACTAACCAACCAACCAACAAAAAGAACAAAACATTTATTTTGGCACAGCACAGATGCATGTTGTTAAATTATAGCTTGGGGCAGAGGCCTTTATAAAATTTGAAATAACTAGAACTAAAGTTAGTTAACTAGTTATAGAACTAAAAGACAAATTAATTAAGTTGTATGTTGGGCTGGTGAAATCACCAATGAGGGAAAACTATACATGGAAAATATTTTTATTATGCTTTCTGTGTGCTTTCAAAAGTTACCCTGAATTTAAGAAGGGGTTTTACTTATTTTTTCTTCATTTCTAGGATACATGGTGAAACTTCCAAAAGGGAAAAAAGATACATTAGATGGAGGTTAATTATATCTATAGTTTTTCTCAGAACAATGGAACAAAATTTTGTTTTTATTATATTGTGCTCATTCAGATGTATTTCGGTAATACAAAAAAGAATCAACAGAAGTGCATACTCAGTCCAAAGCATTAAAAAAGATCTGGAAAGTAGTCTTCAAACATGCAGAATATGTCCATTCCAAAAAATGTCATATTCTAATTTTAAATCCAGTTTTGTTTACAAATAAAGGATTTAATCAGAAACAGCTCATGAAGTCATCAAATACCTTCTTTTATGTTCCATAATAAAATTATCTTTCCTAAAGTTGCTATATAATATGTAGAGGTAGTACAGTATGGTGATTTCCTTGCATTACAGATTGTTTCCAGTCTGGCATTAACTAGCTGTGAGATTTGGGGCATATTATTAATGCTCAGAACATTAGTTTCATCATCTATAAAACTGAGCACAAATTAGGAGTTACCTCAAAAGATTGTTATGAGGGTTAAATGAGTTAATACAAAGAATTCAGCACATATTTAAGTGTCCAATAAATATTGCCATTATTATTAAATTAAATACCAGTGTATATACAATATTCATTTCTGTCAAATGACCATCTTAAGAATTCTTTACTAGAGTCTTCAAACGCTCTTAATCATGACATTCTTGTTTAGTTTTATCCTAAATGCTGCCTCACCAGATAGAGTGCTTCAGACACTGCCAAGCAAAGAGTAGGTTCTGAGTAATGTTAAAGAGAGTGAACAAACTTGCCATAGGTCTGGCTGAGGTCCTTTAGAGACTATATGGGCAATTACTCTTTCTGCTCCATTCTTCTTCCTTGTTTTCCTTGCCATAGGTGGTGGTCCCAAGAACACTCTCCAATAATATGCCTTCTACACATTAATCACAGAATTTACTTTCCAGGGAACACAACTTTGGATAGGAGCCATAAAAATCTCAATATTTTATTGGAGTAAAGTGACATTTTAGATTCCTAATTTCAAGGTTAGCTTTAAAAATATCTGGGAATGTGAAATATATACAATTACAGCTGGGTAATTATATTATTACTAATTATCATTTCTAATCTGGGCTCTTGGCTTCTAGTTCAAGTGTTAGTGATTTTTCTAAAATGTATGTTTTATCCTGTTATTATTCTTGAGCTAAGGATAAGAGTTAAGATTCATTAGGATGGCAAACAAATACCTTATTGGGTCTTCAGATAGAACTTTAATTTTAGCAATATAAGTCCTTTGTCATTTTACAAATATGACAAGCACACATGTGCTTTGTGCACAGTAAGTTCTTTGGCCGGATCACTCTTATTTTCTGATTCCTTCCTTGTACAGGCATGGTCAATACTCACCTGAACATAAATAAGCATGTACTATGGCATTTGTTTTAGACTTTGTCAGCTAATCTGTGACTTCCATCAAGACAGGTTTAGTTTTTTCATTTTTACATCCTACCATCTAACTAGTGTCTAGTGTCTCAAAAAAAAGCTCACTACCTTCGTTTAGGGCATCATCATCTCTACATAGTAATTCCTACCAAGTCTTTTCCTTTCCCCTATTCAGTGCACTCTCCATTAACAGCTTGAGGGATCTTGTGATAATGTAAATTGTAAACACAATTTTTATGTTTAAAAACATTTTACTTGTTTCTTTATGACTTTTATGGTAGAATTCAGACTCCAAAGAGTTCTACATGGTGTGATCTCTATTTGTCTTGTCTTATCTCCTTCCCTATTGGTAGCTCCACAACTTGGTTTGCTTTTTTTTTTTCCCTCCTCCTTCAACATTCTAAATTCAACATCCAAGATTCAACTTTCCTAATTCAGAGGCTTTGCATTGTTCTCCCCTCTCCACCCCAACTCCCAATACTCTGTTCACTTTGGCTCTTCCTTGTTATTTGGATCTCATTATCTAAACACCTGCCCAGAATATTCATCCGATGATCCTTTCCGCCATGTCCACCTTTCATATTCTGACCTTATTTACCATATCCCTCTTCCCTCTACGATGCACATTTCATGAAGAGTTTTCTCACACTGCTATTTTTTCAATACTTGGAAACAGGATCTGCAATAAATATTTGTTGACTGAACTAAGTCCCAATTTAAGTTTTGTCAAAAGACTGAATAACAGGGTAGAGGAACTTCAGTGCTGTGTCACAGTGTGGTATTGGACTTCCATCTGCTGATTTTTATTTAAAACCTAACATTTCTCTTTGGATAAAAATTTAAAAACTTTATACACTTCTTTCTAATCAGCTGAAGAGCAGAAGAGAGTTAACTGTTTTCTTTCCTTTCTACATTTTCTAAGAAAAAATTCCTATCTCGGATACTATTACAATTAATAAATACATCAAATGTAAAATGCAGGTGGTTAGCTGGGAATGGTGGCAAATACTTGTAGTCTCAGAGGCGTGGGAAGGCTGAGGTCCTAAGCTTGTGTCTAAGTAAAATATGTAAGCGTTTCTGGGTTCAATCCCTGGTAAAACAAACAAACAAACAAATAAACTGCAGGTGGTTAATAATATCCTTTTAAAATTAATAAAGCAATTTCCATATTAGGAATAAAAAAAATAGAAACAGTAAATATTTTCCTAGTCTCATTTTAAACTCTATATTATAGTCCACAAATTTATAGAAAAAGAACAAAGTATAAATTATAAGCACAGGGATAATGCTGGAGAGACAAGTCCTAACTTTCTTTAAAAGTGGGAAAACCTTTGGGGAGATAATTATAGAGTAAGCTCGACACTTAATGTAAGATAATACCACAATTGATGCCTGATAATATAGCTACAATAAAATGAAATTTTATATTCGGTTAATTCTGACTCAGCAGTACTTTTCAACCACATTTTGCTGGGGAGTAAAATGATAAAAACAATTCTAGTAATTCCAAATTTTGTCATTGTTATTGCTGTTTTTGGGTACCAGGGATTGAACTAAGGGGCACTTGACTACTGAGCCACACCCCTAGCCCTATTTTATATTTTATTTAGAGACAGGGTTTCACTGAGTTAAAAACTTAGTGCCTCACTTTTTGCTGAGGCTGGCTTTGAACTCTTAATCCTCCTGCCTTAGCCTTCTGAGCCACTGGGATTATAGGTATGCACCACCGTGCCCAGCTTCTAGAAATTCCATATTTTGAAGGTTAATATGTGTTATATTTCTATCACAGATGACCATAAGATTTTTCCATATATCTTTTATGTAACTGAAAAATAGACTTAAAAATTGCTAATTGGTTCTAAAACTCATTCCCATAACTCATACTTCTTAAGAAAAGTAGTAAATTATTAATTATGGATTGACAATCTAATTATTTAAGAGGTGACAGTTTCCAATTAGACTTTGAAGTAGAGAAGAGGAAGACATTGTCCAGATTCATGATTTCATATTGCAGCTGAGTGGATTTCTCTGGAAAGTGGTCTGACTAGGTATGCCTTTCACTGACAGACACTAGTTTGGTAATATTTAAGGGACCCATGTCATACAAGAAGAGAGAATTCCCAGGACTGTTATGGTACACGCCTATAGTCCCAGCTACTCAGGATGCTGAGGTAAGAGAATTACTTGAGCCCAGAAGTTTGAGGCCTGCCTGGGGATCATTGTAAGATCCAGTTCATTTAAACACACACACACACACACACACACAAATAAAATAATTCATCCTTACAGGAGAATGAAAATTCTTATTCCATAACTAAAGTAATACCTCTATATATTGCCAACATTGATGGTCTGGTAATGGGTCAGGGAGAAGGCTATCATTAGTTTTTTTTTTTTTTTTAAATAAGGCTCAAAATAAATATATTTCACTGTAATTTATGATTTTCATTTGAGATTACACCAGAGTAGTTCCTCGAACTCGGCAATTATTTGCTGAGAAGCAGAACTAGGTGTTTAATGGAACTATAACTAAATCTGACAAAATTGACATGTGAAAAAACTTCATTAAAGTAAGGATTTTATCTATTAGACAATGAATTAAAGGATAGTATAGTAAAGGTTTATAAAAGACAAATCAGATTATAGGAATTGGACCAAAATTCATACTAATCTGTCTGAAGTACCACATTGCCTTCTGTCATATCCCAGTAACTAAGAATCTCAGGTCAATGAAGAAGGGTTTTCTTCATATAATATGTGCTAATAAAAATAGCAAAAGTGGTAATGTTTTTTTCTAAGAAAGTTCTACTACTTATATATTATAATGACAAAAGAATACACTGTGACAGTTTATGACAAACTTACCTCTGTAATAAAACAGGCAAAGGTCAGAAAGCACAAACCAGCGTTTCTTCCACAGCTTCATGCCAGTACTGTCCTAAAATTAAATCAATGTATTTATTTTCATTTCAGTCAATTAAAACTCACTTTTGGTGATTTCGTTTAAAATAAGCTTTTAAAACAAGATGTCTCTGTTATGTGTGTAATATAACCAAATTAAAAGGCCAATCAAAATTACAGGATACTAAGTTTCAGTTAGACAGGAGAAATAAGTTCCGGCATTTTACTGCACAATAGTAGTGACTACAGACAACAATAATGTACTATATATTTCAAAAAATCTATAACAGAAATTTGAATGTTTTCATCATAGAGAAATGATAAAATATTTGACGAGATAGATATACTTCCCTGATTTGAACACTATACAATGTTTACATGTATGGAAACACCACATGGCACCCCATAGATATATAAATTTTTATGCGTTAATTAAAATAATCTAGAAGTTCTTTACTAGGGACTTATATTAAGATATTTCTAAGTAGACTGGTCTTTGAAAGTAATACTGCCATGTACAAAAACTACACAGAAGCAATTTGACTTGGTTTTATATTTGTAAGCAATTTAAAACTCTTCTGAACACACAATTCTGCTATGATGAGAATAATGTAGCCATGCATCAATGTGTGGACTCTGCTAAGCCAGATTTAATAAATATATTAATCTTCAACAAGAGGCAAAATATGTGAATTGAAATTGTTGCAAAGGTAACCTGATTTAAAATGAGTGTAAATAAAGAAAACAATATGCAAAAACACTTCATAAACATTTTTATTGTTATGTGTACAGTTTGGATTTTGCTCACCCTGCAGAAATGAGTAACTATTTGGCATTTATTTCTACATAATTCAGTTCATAAAAATATCAGTCTCAAGCAAAATTATAATTTTTAAAAAATAAAACTACTTTCCTTAGGCAATAAAATTCAATTGCAAGAAAAAATTAAACAGATACCCACAAAAGGCAGAGGCCAGTTTGAATGCACATCAATATTTCTTAGTTTATTTGTAATTGTGACAATCATCTAATGATAACTTTAGAACAACAGAAATTAAAAACCCTTGGATATAAAAGATTTTTCCTTAAAATTAACAGATATCAAGGAAGAAACCAAAAATAAAGGTAATTAAATGGTACGTGTTATTTTTTATTCCTTAATTATATTCTTTCTTTAGTACAGATAAAAGGCCCTGCAAAAAAAATTTTTAAAGCATACATATACCACAAACTAAACACTTATGACTACGGAGGTGAAGACAGGAGGATCGCAAGTTGGAGGCCAGCCTCAGCAACTTAGCAGGACACTGCCTCAAAATAAAAAAAGACTGGAGATGTAATTCAGCGGTAAAGCATTCCTGGGTTCCATTTCCAGGACCCAAAACAAAACAAAACAAAAACAAAATTACAAAAGCACCCAAACCAAAGAGAAAAAACTTATGTTAGAGCCAACTAGTTGGTAACACTTCTGCAATACTACATTAACTAAGGGATAAGGGAACTAGAAGAAGAATTATTTTAAGGAGTCCTATTATCCACTATTAGTACAAATACTGTCCTGATCTACTTGAACATATTTTGAACAATGACTAGTTAAAAAACACAAACACTACATACAAAATATTTTTTTTTATATACTAAAGTCTTTTGGTGAAAATCTTTTGGTTTAGGTAAGCTTAAATGACAGATAGTTAAAATATAATAATGATTTTTAAATGAAAAATAAAAATTTGGCTGGGTATGGTGGCATATGCAGCAGCTTGGGATGCTGGGCAGGAGGATTGCAAGTTCAAAACCAGCCTCAGCAACTTAATGAGGCCCTGAGACCCTTAGCAAGAGCCTGCCTCAAAATTAAAAAATTAAGAAGGGCTGGGGATATTGGGTTCAATACCTAGTGTAAAAAAAAAAAAAAAAAAAAAAGCCACCCAAGCATATGCCCAGTCAACTTAGTGAGAATTTGCAAAATTAATTTACTTGAATGGTGGGGAATTCTCTGAATTTTAAGATTATCCTCTTTCAATACATTAGCTAACCTCAACTTTCAGATGAAATACACTATAATGAATATTCACAAAAAATTCATTATGAGTTTTAATGAATAAAAATTAGCTCAGCTGAAAGTAATTAGCAATATTTAACAAAATAGATTAACACCACCAATAAACTAATTCAAAAATATTTTTATTTTTAATAAACTCAGTAATTGTATATTTTTATGGGATAGTATAACATTTTAATACATGTATACAAATGTGTTAATGAACTGGGACGACTGGCATAACATTTGTTACCTCAGATTATGTATCATTCAATGAACTAATGTTTAATTTGTTTTGTCATGTAGAATAAGAGAACAAAGGCAAAAGCCTTGAATGTTGAACACATTCTCTCAATTATCTGGCAACCTACTCATCTGAAATCTAGCTGAAATCTGAAAGTAAATAACATCCTCAAAGTAATAAAAATGATGGCAAAGTCCAAGGGGATAATATCCTTACATGCTTATGAATCCCCATACTAATAACAACTTTCCAAAAAATCTTAGTTATCAAGCTTCCTAGTACAATATAAATCCCAACTTATAAAGCTCTCTGAAAGTGAACTCTGAGCAAATAGCCAAACAAGAAAAAGGAAAAACCAAACAGCCCAAAAACTTATAAGGAAGAGAGAATAGTCTTAAAATACAGAAGCCAAAACCCAGAAAAAGTCAGAAATATCCAAATTATTTTCAGATTCCTCTATGAAGAATGGCAAGAATGCGCTGGGGTTGTGGATCAGTGATAGAGCGCTTGCCTAGCACGTGCGAGGCCCTGGGTTCAATCCTTAGCACCACATAAAAACAAATAAAAATAAAAGATGATATTGTGTCCAACTAAAAAATAAATATATAAAAAAAAGAATGGCAGGGAAGTATAGAGTTGTGCATTTATCTAATGATTTTTAATATGAATAGAAAAGCCAAATGTTTAAAAAATATTTCTGCCTGGAAAATATATAGAATGCTTCACAAATTCATATGTCATGCTTCTGCAGAGGCCAGGCTCATCTTCCCTCTAATTCCAATTTCAGTATATAAGATGTTGAAGTAAGCACTGCATGGAGATTTTAGCATGGGATTCCTAACATACAGCACCTATTTAATTTTAAACCTAGAAATATCTATAGCCAACATATACAAACAGTCTTTATTGTAACATCCATTCCTTTTTCTGTCTTTATTTTTCCCCTGACACTCTTAGGGGTAATAAAAGTCAAGGGGTATGGGAGACTATTGTACATTTCTTTTTCTAGTTTATATATTTTCATGTAATTGTCTTGGCAACATTCAGCTCAAAAGATCTCTTTGATTCTATCCTTTATTTCTTATCAAATGGGAGAAAAAAATACCTGTTTATAAAGCCAACCTCGTCTGACCACAGGTGCGTTAGGATTTCTTTTAATTGAATTTGACCTCTTTCCAAAATTATGAACTTTCTTTGAAGCCCGTGATGTCTAAACAGAAAAAAAAAAAGAGAGAAAATGCAGTAATAATGCTTAGATATTTGAACTTATTTTTTATCTTCACTATTTTAATCTTGTATTTTTTAGATTTCTCTGAGATTTGTAGGAAAAATAAATTATCACAATTCAACTTTTGTTGGCTTAGTTGTTTCAAGTGTAAGAGTTCAATACAAAGAATCCTCCTACCCTCAGGATATTACAAAAGGATCATAGGTTTTACACTATTGCCTTTAACATATATACTATTCTTAAAGTGCAGTATTTTGTTTTATCTACTTTATAAAATGAATAGTGAGTAAAAAATATTAACAAATGTATAAGAATAAGTCAAATGATAAAACATTTTGCTTTATATCTGCATTTAATAGTGTTTTGATGAATGAAGGCTAATAGCATTATTTGTACACAACAGTATTTTTTCTAAACTGCTTTCAAATAGATAATGCTTACAGTATAAAATTCAATAGTACAAAAATATAAAACAGGACCAGTCTACTTCTTACCCTTGAGGTCTAGCATCCAGCCAACCCTCCTGACAACCTAGTGAGGTAACCAATATTACTATGGGAATGTGCATTCCTATCAATCTAAAATAATTGTTCTTATAGTTATGGAATATCTTTATCTTTTTCAAATGACTATACACATAGTATCCATTTCACTTGAGACTCACTACATAAAGAAAAAGAAAAATGTCTATTTTACTACACTTTTGCCAATATGCTATGCTTTAAAACTTTTTGACTTCTGCAAATCCAATTGCTGAAAAATGGTCTTTTTTTGTTATAATTAGCATTTTTCTTATCACTGAGACTGAGAATCTTTTCCACGTACTAAAGAGTAAATTCCATTTTCTTCTTTTAGAATTGATTTTACAGTATTTGCCCACATTTAAATGGGATCATAACCCTTTTTCTTATTAATCCAAGGCAGTTCTTTAATTTTCAAGTAATTATTCTTTGTTATATGAATTACAGATATTCTGCATACATGAAAATAATGTGGTTGACTTTCTCATTATTTCATATTTTTACTTTTGGTTTTACATCATATTTCAAAAGTCCATCTGCATTCTGAGTTTAGCTTTCTTCTGTTATTTAGTGAGAATTAGAAATTACTTACATTATTTGAAAATTTTATTTACTTGTAATATCCTACAAAACTTTATTTTAAACAACTTAGCAGACATTAAAAAAAAAACTATTGTCTACTGCCCATTCCCTTACAATAAACATAATTTTAAATTATAACTATTTTTCTACTATGTTTCCTAAATCTAGGCATTCATGTAGTCAGAAAATTTTTGATTTCTAGGTTATTGTATTAATCTTCCCTTTCAATCTTAAATTGAGCCAGGTGTGGTGGTAAACATCTGTAATTCCAGCAACCTGGTAAGCTGAGGCAGGAGGATCTCAAGTTCAAAGGCAGCCTCAGCAATTTAGTGAAACTTTTGTCTCAAAATTAAAAATTCAAAAAAGGATGGGGATGTAATTCAGTGGTAAAGTGTTCCTAGGTTCAATCTCCAGTACCAAAAAGAAAAAAAAGAAGAAAACCATAACAAACCTTACACTGATTCAATAAAGTGCCTATTTTCTCACACAAGCATTTTTCTATATGCAAAATTATTCAACATGTAAACTAAGTATTTTTTAAAAATGTCATTAAATTACAACTTTATTACTTTATATTTCAAACACTGCTCCTCATATCAATTACCTCCAATACAGTTAAATCCATGTAGTAATAAAAATATAATAATTACACATACTATCACTGATCAATAATTAACAATAAGCAAAGTACTTACTCTGCCAATAGGGCTCATTGGATGTACTGCATAATCTGAACTCATGTTATAGTTAGAAGCTTCATTTATCATACTTATAGGCCGTTCTTTCTTTTCTTCAGACGTCATGGTTGCAACAGTCCTGAAAATAAAATATGTTAAATTCTAGAACTTACTGTGTAAGTAAACTGTTTTACAGTAATGCTTTCCTGAAGTTAACAAAGCAAGAGTCCTGTTTTCAAAATAACTGGATACTTGTTACTACAGAGTAACATTTAATATTTACAACTATTTTAAACACAATTAACTCTTCTGCTAAAATCAATGTAATTAATATCATGCTAATTCTAAAAGGCATTACTGAAGATAATCAACTTGGTCATCTAACAGGAAAATTACAGGCCAGGCATGGTGATGTACACTGGTAGTCCCAGCTACTCAGGAGGCTGAGGCAAGAGGATTGATTGCTTGAGCTTAAAGAGTTTGAGACCAGCCTGGGCAACAAAGCAAGACTCTGTCTAAAACAAAAAATAAAAACAAAAAGGAATTATAAGAAACTGGGGGTGAGTTCAGTGGTAGAAGACAAGATTACATGCTTGCGGCTCTGGGTTCAATTCCCAGTACCACCCCCTGGAAAAAAGAATAAAAGAGGAATAAGATTAATTATTCTAATATTAAAAAATAAGAAAATGTTAACATTTGTGGCCAGCTTCATAGTATATAAACTTTTTTCACTTATTTCTTTTAATGCTTATGAAATCCTAGGAAATGTACTGAATGGAAGGAGAAAAACTGAGTTCAAATTAAGTTTAATAATTTTGCCAAGTTTATACAGCTTCTTTAACTTTTATATTCTGTGCTATTGAGAATTCAAACTTTCTCAGTTTGAATTCTCACAAAAATAGCTTCTAAAATTATATTCCTCTTGAAAAATAAATTTTAGGTCATGTATCTATACCACATGTAGTTAACAGCTGGGACTATTACACTTGACTGCAACTGTTCAGGTAAGAAAACTGTTCAATTTTACTGTATTAAATACGGATTAGAGCAATCTCAGTGCTAACCTCATTCTGATTACAGGCAATGCATGAAACTTTTTACTTACTGTTCATTCACTACAAAAATACAATTGTCCTGTGATGGCTGTCCTGTGACTGGATGTTTGCAGGTCACTTTCCTTTCATTATGGCTGAAAGAATAAAAGAAAAAGATAACATGTAGGCACTTCTATTATCACTAATATTTTGGTAGCAAAACACCCATTTCTTTATTGTAAAATTAAGGTTACTGAACAAAGAAGATGAAATTCAAACCACCTGTCATTTGGAGTCCTAAATATACCTTTTCTACTATCTACTGTGGGTAAATATGTACGAAAATGCTACTTAACAGTTTTATAATATCACTGAACTCACTGCAGCTTACTCTGATCTCAATTCTTTCTTCTTGATAGCTGATTTGGCATACAATCACTATTTATACACACACACACACACACACACAATTTTAGAAGCTATTTTTGTGAGAATTCAAACTGAGAAAGTAAGCTCAAGAGCACAGGATGTAAAAGTTAAAGAAGCTATATAATCACATTTCTTACGTGGACAATAAGAATGAGTATCTACTCTCCTCCACTATTTTGTGACCCACTTTGGGCATGCTCTCTAGAGAAAAGACTATTTTTGGAGACTGAGACTTTTGTCTAGGAAATATTCTTTCTAAGCAGAGTGATAAGATTAGATTTCTTACTGTCTTCCTGAAATGAAAGGAAAACTAAACCTATTTATCTATATAAGTCAAAATATTAGACATCTCAAATATTATGCAAAGTACACTGGTAAATTATATACATCATCAATTGTAGATCTAAACCCTAACTTTAAATAACACACAAACACAGAGATATATTTGAGACAGGAATCTCACTGTATTGTCCAGGCTGGCCTCAATCTTGTGATCCTCCTGCTTCAGCTTTCCAAATAGGTGGGATTACTGGTGTGTACTACCATGTCTACCTCCTTGTAATTCTATTTTTAATTGGTAACTTAGCATTCTAAAATGTTATTCAGTAAGTAAAACTGAAGTCATATAAAAGAAACAGGTATCATGTTTTAAAAAATTAAATATTGAACATAGAAACACAGTAGAATAATTAGGAAATATGGCACATTTCTGCTACTCTTTAATTGATTAAAGACACACATGACTTCTACATTACCAGTTTCTTGTGGTGCTTTTGTCTTTTTACAGATAGGTTAAATAGTATTAAATATTGGTGAGTCTAGATATATGTGATGTATTTTCACTACATAAAAAGTATGCAAATGAGGACTGGGGATATAGTTCAGTTGGTAGAGTGCTTGCCTTGCATGCACAGGTCCTGGGTTCAATCTCCAGCATCACACACACACACACACACACACACACACACACACACAAAATGCAAATGATCTTTCTTGATTTAAAAAAGCACAATAGTGCCAAAGCTTCATGGGGGATGTGAGTTTATATAACAGACAATAAACTGATAACAGAAAATAAACCGATAACAGAATAACTAGGTATAGCCACTGGAGATAAGTGAAAAACATTGAAATACTCTATTAAGTATATTAAGTATTAAGTTTTCAATTCTGCAAATATTTCAATGAAAGTGACATTAAAATAAGATGGAAATAATAATCTAGAACTTACATATTATTACATTATAATTATTCCTATAATATATACTTGCATTATATATTATATGCTATATTTAAGGTTTTTCTGTTGTTCTACATCTGGGAAGATGAGACAAAATGGGTTAAGAAGCTAGTCAGTTGAATGGTAGCTAAAATAAACATATACATTCTTTTTATAGAAATTAATATTGGAAGAAGAAAATAAATAAACCCCTACTAACTCCTATTATTTCCCTATGTTGTATCATCTTGCCTGAGAGAAATACAGTAGATTCCAATTCTAATATTCTAGAAACTCTAAATTATAACAATATGGCTCTGAAATAGTTATAGAGTTAAGGTACTACTCTGACCTTCTGGATACTAAACAGACTTGAGTATCCAATAAACAAGGATGCAGGGCAGTGGATACATTTAAATAACAAACAATTAAACAGAAGCCCAAACACTCCTTTCCGCAAAAGTAGAAGATATCTCAAACTCATATTTTCAGTGAAGTACTTTAAAGATTATTATGTTTTAAAATAAATAAAATAAACAAAACCTTTGGATTTTTAGTTAAAATAATATTAACTAAAACCAGTACAAAACAAGTATATATTTTATATTTACTCAATACAAATGTGGATTTAAATTATATCAAAGGTTACTACTTTTCTATAAAATTCAAAATCAGAAGATTAAGATTTTATAGATAATTAGAATAAAAACTCTTGTTATCTTCTATGGAAAGCATACTTACAAAATAGAAAAAAAACACCTGTATTATTCTCTAATCATTTTGTCAAAAATGAATTAAAAGTATAAGAAACCAACATATCAACTCCAGCTTTAATTGTTTCAAAGTGGCAATTTTCTATTACTCGATAGGACTATCAAACCTCACTGCTCTTGTTAATGTTTTTTAAAATTCACTTTTGTAAAGTTTAAAATTAATTTTAAATTTCAGAATCATTTCTTTTGTTATGTGAGCATTTACATTGCATTTAATACTGCCGAATCTTAAAGTATTGCAATGGTAAAGGGTAAACACAGTTGCTAAATAATTAAATGAAATTAAAAATGAGTTGAATAAACACTGAGTGCCAATAAGTGAAAAATTTCATAAAACCGTGTCTGTTAGTATAAATTCTTTGAATAGCAGATAGAGCACTTCACAGTGTGGGAAGTAGCTGGCCTATTGTTAGGTTCTGACCACTATCCTTGCCACAAAGGAGGAGGCCATGGCTCAGGAGGGAGACAATGATTTCCAGCTTTTCTTCAGTTCTACCAAATTTAACCACGTATTCTTTTAAAATTATGCTTTCATCCGATACATGTTATACTTTTCTGTAGTTCAGTGTGATTTTTAAAAAATTTTACTCTTGAAGAGCCTCAAAATTCAGATCAAGAATGCCATCGGTTCTGTTTTAACGCTTGTATAGAAATGTGTTCTAAGATGATTCATAGATTAGGGAATGATATGAGCATAACACAACTTCACTGTCACTTATGCATTATTTTGCTGTAAGAAGTACTAAGTGAATCTGCAATCTGCATCCAGCAGAACTCAGTCACATAAGAATTCACAAAACATATATCTGCATATGCTTCAAACATTTTACCAGCTATTTCAGTTCACTGTCTGTTTTCTGAAACACACTCATCCACATCTGGTGATACAACTTTAGATTTACTTTTAGACCATGCCTCTTATAAATTTTCCCAATAACTCACCAGCTAAAACCCTTCCAATGAAGTTCACTTCTATAAGCAAAAATCACAGGTATTTTTCAAGGCTGGGTATATATTTGTTGTAGTATTTCTAGCATTTTGTAACAACGTGTAAAGCTGTGATACCATTTTTATTAGATTGCATCTTTATTTCTATGTGTTACTAATGAAGTTTTGTGTTGTTGTTTGTTTTTTGAGATAAGATCTTTCTATTGTTCAAGCCTTGAACTCCTGGGCTCAAGCAATCCTCCTGTCTCAGACTCCTAAGTAAATGGAACTATAGATACATGCCATGATGCCCACCTATACTAAGAATTTTTGACTAAAGCTCCTCACCTCATTCCCCCCGCCCCAAATCCTGTGCTTTTCATTGCCTGATTTTGTAGTGAGATATTTTTAGGAATATCCCTGTTGTGTTCTAGCAAAACTGATCACACTACAACTTCAGAAATTTTACTACTAAAAATGTATTTGAAGCTTTAATAGATAAAGATATTGTGTCCAAATAAAACTATAATAATAATAAATTAAAAAATAAAAAAGGGCTAGGGACATGTCTCATTGGTTAAGTGCCCATGGGTTCAATCCTGGCACTGCTACCACCACCCCCAAATATAAATTCTTGTCAGAGATCTGATGCTCTTTGTGAATAAAAAGGGAAAATGTACGATTTTATATAAATTTATTTCCAAGGGAATCCTTATAAAAAGGTATGAAATTCAGGTCTTGATATAAAACATGGCTATGGTCAAAGAGTAAACTAATTCCTGCCTTGTCTCTAAACTCACTATGGCATGGCAGGAAGGCCAAATTTTACTAAGTATCTTCCAGATTTCCCTCTTCGATATCCTAATGTAGAGATCTAAACCAGTGATTCTCAACTGAGGGAGGTAGGAAGGGAGGGTTTTATCTCTTGAAGGCCATCTGATAATCTCCAGTAATATTTCTGAACATCATAACTGGGGAGGGTTGCTGGAATCTACGGGAGCCAGGGTTTTACAATTCACAGTGAAGTCCTCCCCAAATTATCTACCCAAATAACAGTGCTAAGGAAGAGAAATCCTGCATTAGACCATCACAGCCCTTTACCAATTAATTATACTGAATAAGCAACATTTATTATTTCTTGGTGTTGCTGCATTTCTCTAGACAAAATGGAGGCAGCAAGAAACAATGGCAACTGAGAAAACAAGTTCTGAAATCACATGATACAAGTTTGATTCCTAACTCTTCCACTAACTAGGCCATTTTAGGCAAGTTAATTTACCTCTCTGTATCTTAACTGCTTCAGTAGCTTTGCCACAAGTTGTTAGTTTAATATATACAGAAATACACACATATAAAATTTAGTTTATGTATGTAGTTACATAGTTTAATATATATGTTTTAATTTAGATATAAAATAAGAAAATGTTCTAGGTACCAGGGATAAGAGTGAGTAAAACCTAAGTCCTTGCCCTCATAGAACTTACTTTCCAGTGGAAATGTGTTTATAAATATTAAAAGAATAAACAGTAAAACATGGCCTGAAATACAGCAAGTCTTGAAAAATTATATTTGTTTTTATTATGAACTATAAGTATTAAAAGTATATGCTACCATTATCATAATAACATTCAGCTAGCAACTTAAAGACAGTTTAAATTAGCCCCTATCTAAATATAGTCAGACATCATTTAATAGTGGGGACACATTGTGAGAAATACATCACTATGTAATTTTTGTCATTATGAATCACACAGCATACTCTCTGAAACCTAGATGTAATGTGGCCTGTTGATAAAATCAAGAGATG